AAAAAAAAAAAAAAAAAAAAGATTAGATGTTGACCACCCATCTTACTTGTATTTAACCCACATTCTCATTTTCTTGAATAATCTAAACTATTACTATTTATGTAAATATGTTTATTCTATCTTGATATAATTATAGCTTTCATTTGAGGAGAAAATTTACGAAGTACTTGAAATGTTAGAAAAGTTGCAAGACTACACGAAGATATAAATAATTGCTTCACTCTAATTGTAAAGTCCCCATCATAATAAATCTAAGGTACATGTGATGGGAACTCATTTTTTCGGCCTTCTCTACATACAAACACACATCCTACTTTCTCCGAAATTTCCTACCCATTTGCTTTTAAGCCTTCACTCTCACATGTCTCAACACAGTTTTTAACACTCATGTATCCTTATTAAAACTTTTGAACTCCCTACAATCTACTGCTCAACTTACATAATCTCGTTAAAACACGGGCATACATAAACTTTAAGCCGTATGTAACCGAGACACTTCAAGTGATCTCTGGAGTACTCATGACGAGCTCGTCGTTCAGACACAAAAAACCCGCAAAGCAGGATATGTATAAATGAGCCATGAAAGGGGCGAAATAGTAGTTTTACGTTCAATAAACTGAATAAAAAAAAATGGTGAGAAGGTACCTAAAGTCATCTATGAAAGTGGTGAACTCGGCCGTAGGGCTTGGGGGCATTGCTATCGTTGCCTATGGTGTTTTGATGATTCGAGTATGGCAACCGGAACATGGCAAGGGTTCGTCTACCGACTATTTAGCTATTCCATGGTGCGTTTTAGTTAGCTGTTTTTTGATGAATCGATTCAAGCTAACAAATACTACTATTTCAACTTGTATTTGCATAGTATCAAATGCATGACTTCTTTTTCCTTTTTTTTTTTTTTTGCAGGTTTTTTCATGCTTTTCTTGGTGTTGGTATTGCTCTGTGTGCGATCTCCTGCTTAGGTTATTTTGCTGCGCAGACAGCAAATATGTATTGCCTCTCTTGTGTATCCAAAAGTAGAGCTGTAAACGAACCGAACGTTCGTGAACAAAAGCTCGTTCGAGCTCGTTTGTGTTCGACAAAAGCTCGTTCGTTTGTTAATCGAGCCGAGTTCGAATGCAAAATTAGGCTCGTTTAATAATCGAACGAACACGAGCTCGTTCGTGAACGTTCGATTATGTTCGCGAACATTAATTTAATATATATATATATTTTATTTTTTTATATATTTACATAATATTTTTATTAAAAAAATCTAAAATTTCCCAGACCCCAACCTGTTTGGGAATATACTGGGTATGTTGATGTTGATGAAAAAAATCTAAAATTTAATATAATTTTATTTATTTTCTATATATTTACGTAACATTTTTAATGAACATATATAATATACAAAATTATTTTAATTTTATTCTTTTCTTTCGGGTTCAAACGAGTTCGAACGAACAAATCTCGAGTTAATCGAACGTATTTAAAAAGTTTATGTATTAAATTATTCGAACACGAACGAACTCGAACTTTGACGAACAATTAAACGAATGAACTCGAACACGATTTTTTGCTCGAAAAATAAACGAACGAACACGAACACTGTTCGAACGTAAACGAACACGAGCTCGAACAGCCCAAGCTCGGTTCGTTTAGAGCACTATCCAAAAGCCCCTTAAAAGAAATTTATTCCTCTACTTCTTTCATTTCCCAATTTTGTGCAACCCTTAATATGACTGCAGTACATAAGTATTGTCCTCTTGCTACTCATAATGGAGACCATCATCATGGCAGATCTATTCTTGAATCCAAACTGGAGAAAGGTTAAAGATTTTGTATTTTAGACTTTTTCTTTTATTTTATATTATTTATTTTTTAAATATCTTGACCTATCTGCAAACATGAGATTTTCGTATTCTATCTTCTCCGCAAAAATGGATGTGTGATTGCCAGTCTTCTGGTTAATCAGGAGCTACCTAGGAATCTCTGTGAAAGGCTCGATGAATTCACTGATTTTGTCGAGTCAAGCGACGATATCTTGAATTGGGTCGCCTGGTTGATTTTTCTGGTGCAGGTAAAACTTGGTCTTAAGGGCTATAAGCAGACTTACATTTTATTGTTTTCTTCATTTAGTTTGTATAAACACTCGTTACGCATGGATATTTATGAACTCATAACTGATATGAAGCAAGGCTACTTTAACAATCACCTAAGTTTGCCGAAATCCCTAGAAAGAATAAATAAGCTCCTGAATCAAACTATGGCTGCAAAGAGTAAATTTCTGAAATTGCAGGGTGTTTGTGTTCTATTAGCCACTATTCTGAGGACCCAAGGAGCAAATGAGGTTGACATCTATGAAAGTGAAGATGAGGATGAGCAACCGAGACACCCTCTTTCGGGTCGTTCCACTCTACGGCAACAAGTTGATCCTAGTATTGTCTGAAGCTGAAATTGGGTCGGAAGGTAAAAGCACAAAATTCTCTTCTATATTACTGCAAATTTCCCGTAAGCTATATATACTATAAAATTTGTAATCTTGACAGCCTGCTTTTCTGCTCTTTGGAGTAGAATGGTATTCTAACCCAATATGTTATATACGATCTGTAGCCACTTCTGTTCGAAAGAGCTACTTTTTTCGTTAACTGGAGAAGTGGAGAGAAGGAAGTAAACCGATAATTAACATATTCAAATTCAGCTCTATGCACGACAAGACAAAACCAACCTTCCCAAGAGAGGAGGAAGTAATTTTAAGCAAGCAACTTTAACAACTACAAGTATTATTTTTCAACACTAGCTTCCTTATTTTTTGCACCGGGTTCAAGGACCTCGTATCAATTATCATGCTCAACAACAAAACAGACTGTCGGGAGAAAGAGTCAAGTGTGCAATAGTGCTTAGTGATTCTGCCTAATAATATATGTTTGTGATACTACAGTTTTGTCCTAAAACCTGATCAACTTGCATGCCGAATTCACAAATGATCAAATGAACAGTCAGTAATATGCAAACTAAATCAGTAACTCCATATTACAATTGCACTATATATGGACCACAACAGTATAAGGTCAATACTCCTATTTCTCTTCCTTTTTTTCTTGGTAGCAGCAAAATAAGAGGTTGAAGCCCATTTTTCCAGATATATGCTATGCAAAGCCAGAGTAAGAGATAATCAAGTAGGAAAAATGGAACAGTTATATCTAAAAAAATAAATTTCTGATACAATTGAATAATAAATAAATATGGGATGACAAATTTCTCATCAACTTATCAAAGCCCAAGTTCAACTAATCCTCCGGAACAAAACAGTTAGCAATCAAACAAAACCTAATCAAACTAGCCAACACAAAAGAATAAAAAAAAAAAAAAAATATTCCATCACCTACTCCGATTTATTCATGGACTTTGTGGACAAGCTCCTCTTCATCCGGCTAAAGGGCCCCACTGTCCTATCCATAATATATGCGTATATCACCTGGCTCCAAGACCTGTACGAATCCAAACTATTATAATACTCGGGCGCAATCTCCTTCACCTTGTGAAGCCTACTTCCCGGTATCCTCGGGAAATCATGGTGCTCGTTGTGATAGCCCACGCTCCACGTCATAAGATTCAATGGCCCGTAATATGAATAAGTCTCCTGTTCCGGGTTAAACACATAGTGTTCCGAAATAAAGTGGCCTGCCATCGGGTGCATTCCTCCCCCAACAAAAGTGGACAAAATCAAGTAACCGAGAGACTTCCAGCCCCAGAAATAAACCATGCCAGCATCTAATCCGACCTGGATAAATAGATTAACAAACTCCCAAATGCCAGGTGGCTTCGGCTTGAGAAACAGGGGGCGTAGAGCGTAAAAGAAGAGTTGAAAAAGGACCCATATGGATTTTGTGAATACATTTCGAACGAGTTTGGTCTCGGTTAGGCTGGGCACATCCATGTCGACACCATCTACCCCTTGGAATCTGTGGTGCTCAAGGTGGTACTTTTGGAAGGTAACGGACATGGGCACACCTATGGGGAGGTTGGCGAAAATGCCGAGCCATCGGTTGTAAACTGGGGTTGAGAAAGCCAGGTTGTGGCTGAGCTCATGAATGGCAAGGAAGAGGTTATGGTTGAGGAAAGAACCGAAAAAATAGGCAACGATTAAGATTTTTGTCCATGAGGCATTGTGGAGATAAGTCGCGGTCCATAGCTGGAGCAGTACAACTGCGGCTATCTGTAGTCAAAAGAAGTTAATGAATATTGCAGATACTTTTCATTTTCTTTTCAGGAAACGAAAAATGGGATTCTTGCAAAGTTTAAATGCGTTTTCCGTAGAGTTGTCAAATTTCTGAGCTCTAATTAACACACAACAATGTGACGCAGGAGAACAAAGTGCACGTTCATCTATTGCCACAGAAGGATTACAGAAAAAATGCTAGATATACCACCATTACTAGGAACTAGACAAGAAGGAAATCATGTACAACATGCTCTGTATACGCCTAAATCCACCAAATCGAAAAACGTAGGCTAGATCAGAAGAATCTTAACAATCATTCTTTCCACATCTTATTGTCATTGAGCAAACCTTATATCATACCAAACAAACCCATTGCATTCAAAATTAAAATCTCCGAAAGCACAACATCATAAATCCACCACATCAGAAACAAAAAACATTGTCCAATCTACGAAACCTCGTACCATCAACAACACCTTCAGATCTCAAAAACAAAATCGACAACGACGAACCCCGCAATTCAGAATTCAAATAGGAGCAGATTCAAAAATTTTACCTTGAGGAAAGCAAAGGGGTCGGGGCCAAAGAGCTGCCTGATTTGAGGGTACTGAGAGAGGATCTGTCGCCGCCGGGAAGCGTGCGGCTCGTCTGTGTACGACCAAAAGAAATCAGTCGCCATCACGCCCTCTTCATGGCCGCTCTCTTGCCCTTCGTACCCCATTTTTTTGGTGCTCTCCTCCTCTATGTGTGTTTATCGCCCTTTGTGTGTGTAATTTTCTACATCTTTTGTGCGGGATATTTTTGTTCATATAAAAGCGGTGGCAAGTTTGTTACGATTTTTTCTATTTTTTTTTCATAATTTATTGAGTGGTGTATTTTTATTATAGCCACTATATTTTCGGGTGGTTTTTGTGGATGATAATTGATTTAAAAAGTGTGGGAGTCTTTCATTATTAAGAAACTTAATCAATATTTATTTCTAAATATAACTAAATTTTTATCTCGATTCTATTATTCTCAATATTCTTTTTATATATGATTCCGGAATCGGCTATAGTTTAGGTAAACTTGCACTCTTAGAAATCCTATTTGACAAATTTTTTAGCTTTGTTGTTTGACTTGGATGACTTTTAACTTATTTCTAATTCAAAATTAACTAGGCTTGAAATATCAATAAATATATTAAATATTTATGATTCTTTGTAAATTAACTAGGCTTGAATAATACATAAATATACTAAATATTTACGGTCTTTTAAGCACATTAATTATAATTTAATATCATTTCCTATTGTAAACGTGACATATAAGGTATAATTTTGTTCTCAATTTTTTTTTTCTTCATATTTCTTTTAAAATCATAACCGATTTGCTAATGTGTCGGGAAGTTGAACTGAACATTTTGGTCATAATCCTGCCTTGTTAATCTCGCTGCTAATGTGCCGGAAAGCCGACCTGAACACTTTGGTCATAATCCTGCCTTGTCCAAATTTCTGTTGTTTCTGTCTATCTTCGGGCTCGGACTGCCGTTTGGATGTCGATCTGAGCGTCGTGCCGACGGAGCCACCTGGAAACTTTGCTTTCGAGGATTCTTCATTGTTTGCTCAATTGTTTTATTAGGAGTATTAAGTTATGGGTCCATATTTTCTAACTTGGGTGTCAACAATCTGATAACAAATACAATAATTATTTACTTTCAAAAATAATTTAAATTATTCAAGTGTTCTATAATTTAAAGGTGTTGGTATATGTGTCCTAGAGACAATGATTTTAAGGACATATATACATGATCACATTAATAATTATACTGGATTATAATTATGGTATTGTAATTAATTAAATAATTGTTTGATTGTTTGCAATTTATTAATTAATTGCTCTCTTGAGTTGATATGTCATTAGCAGAGTGAGATGTTAATTGATAAAGTATAACTCCCAAATCGCCTCAATCGATGATCATTAAGAAAGGGATATTAATGATACGCGATAGATTGACATGTGGTCTGCATCACATTCTTTGAGAATATAGTATGTCTCACTGCTATGAATAATTGTTATTCGTAATGTACATATAGATACTTTAGAGAGTATTGACATACCCTACCGATAAACCATTTGTTTATGTGTCTATGGGAGTAACGGTGTGTGGAATGGTGTAATAGTCCTTTGACTTGAGGTCAATACGCAATTCATGTATAGGGTGATTTACTTAGACCTAGTCCAACGCTTATGCCCTTATGGGTAGACACGGGCTTGTGTTGGGTGGATCACGATATGCATGGAATTGGTAGTTGAGCCAAGATAGGATTCATTCCTCGAATATAGTTTCGAAAGAACAGTCGTTTTCTCTGTACTGGGTTGATAAAGTCATTGTCCAATGCACGTGATTATATTTGAAATAGTGTTCAAATATAATTGATAAAATCAACCAGTGATATGAGATAAAATGATTAAGTTGTTTGGATAGACACCGTTCAAATCCTAAGCTTAATCGAGTGGGTCGTGAATGAAGGGACCGTATCATCATTGAGTTCTACACTAAAGGTTTGTTTGCTTGTCCATGTAAACGTACTTCATATTATGAGTTCGTCCTTCGACGCAGTCTAGGAGTTTCGTAAGGATCATAAATTAGATTTATGTCAATATATGAAGGCCTATAGGGTCACACAATATGCAATCAGTTTTCTGACTAAGAGTGAATCGAGAATGTTAAATATTCAATTAGATTAGAATATTTATTTATGAGTAATGAGATTATTTTCTATTTGATGGAAAATATTTAATTAAGTTAAATTGGATTTACACTTAATTATTAATGAGATAATTTTCTATTTGATAGAAAATATTTAATTAAGTTAAATTAGATTTATATTTAATTAAATTGTTAATTGGATTAGGTCCAATTAACTATTGGGCTATAGGGTTTCCTAAGGCCCATATGATTAGGTTTGACCTAATTATAAATACCTCATTATCTCTTCATAATCATTAATCGTTGAAATGATGAAAAGAGTGAAACACTTTGAGAGATCCAAAATCTTAGAGATCGAGATCAAAACACTCTCTAACTTTCCGGATCGAGGATTCCTAGCTTCTTCACCGGAGAGGATTCATTGGCGTTGGATCGTGCATCGGGTAACTGGATTGCGTGGATACCATAGTCGAGGACAAACGACGAATAATTGTAAGTTTTCGTGTATCATTCCCGTGATCTAAGATCAAAATCGAATAGCTATAACCGGATCTTCTTGTTGATAAGAAAATTTTAAAAATTGTGGTGCGTGTGCGATTGATTCGTACTTTCATAATCCAACAAAAGGTCCTACTAGCCATGTAATGAAATTCAAATCTATTTGTAGTACCACTCCAAACAAAACATGTCAGGAATATGAAACACAACACATAAATTACAAAATAACATAAACCTGACACCTAGGACCGGGGCATTGTGTGTTAGTATATTGGGAGCTAGGGATATTTAATTTGATTTACTAGTAATATTAAATATATAAAATACTAATATTCATTATCATAGTACTATTTCTAAATGCAATTTTTTATAATTTAAAATGACACTTGTCATTCACAAGACTCTCATTCTATAATATTATAATATCTCTTATCCATACCACTAGTTTGTCTCCGGCTGTACACACGCAGCCGACTCTATTTAGTCAAGCATCAAGTGAAAATTAGGCGGCGGTTAAATATTGTATTATTGGACTCAATTTTGTCTCTAATTTGTTCTTAAAGTTAAATACTAACGGCTTAACAACTTTCTATATTGATCTATTGCACCTTGTATTACAAAACATTATCCGTCGTAATATAGATAATGCTATGTGCTCGCTAACTCTATTCGTCCTGATAAACCGGCGAACGTTGCGGATTATCTTTCAAAATAAGAAAGTTTCGAACTTGCTGCTTAGCACGTAATCTTCCCTCTCCTTGCAGTCGAGACTCTATCCCGTAATCAAGTGAAAATTTAGTGTATAGTGCCCCACAGTTGGGTTTAGTTCTGTATTTGATTTGTTTTATGATTATTAGTATTATTATTATAAAATTTAAGACAACTGACATTATTATAAAATAAATAGCTTTTCCAGCTAACAAGAAATTAACAGTTAAGAGAAAATGAAAACTTAGGGCTTGATTTTTTATAAAATAATTTATTAAAAATGAGGTATTTTGTGAACTGTAGTTAATTTTGAAAATGTGGTATAGTTAATTATTTGTAGAATTTTAAGAATTTAAAATAATATTTAAAATAAAATATTAAAATTAATTTGGTGTAAAAGTAGGAGATAACTGATTGGTAACGATTGAAAAATGATAGGTAGTTAAAATTATGTGAGTGGATGAATAGTAAATTAAAGTTGATGTGATGTGTAATAATGATTATGTTGTATTATTTTATTATATGAATAATATTAAAGATAGTGTAACTGAGTTAATGTTGAGTTAGATTTTGAGTTTGGATAAAAGTGATAAATTAGCTCATAAACAAGCAAGCCCTTAGGACTCGTTTGTTAGGTTGGCCGAGACACGATAAATTTTATCTTGTTTACCAAAATTGCATTGTAACTATAATTTTTTAAGTATGATTGACACAAGATTTTCTGATTATATGTCAAGCATTTGTTTTTTTGGACAATTGATATGATAATTAATACATTTACCTATTTGTCCACCATGAAAAAATTAATTTTTTTGCCTTTCTTCCACTGAGGTATTCACAAGCACAATAATACTAAGGAGGCAACTGTTGGCTCCGTTATGGAGCCAACAGCCAATGGAATAGCTCCACGTGGAACTGTCTCACATGGCTCCAATGTGGGACAGCCCCACATGGAGCTATCCCATTGGTTGTTGGCTCCGTAACGGACCCAACAACTGGCTCCTTAGTATTACTGTTCACAAGCATCTGTGGAATTCTAAATCAATTAATATTAATTCCTAAACAATTAATATTCAAAACAAAAAGTTCTGATAAAACGCCGGAATCATCGTCACCTGGTTCATCTTTCTCCTCAAAATCATCACTCCCCATGTCACTCTCACGCGCAGTTTCCCACTTGGAAACATCACTATCGTTTCCATTGCCATCACTGGGCCCATCCTCAGCCTTTCGAAACAACTACGCAGCCCTCATCTGTTTCCTCACAAGCCGCTTGGCATAATCCGGGACCTTGTTATGCTTCAACGAAATATCCAGGTCAGCTTACTGGGAAAAATCGTTCACAAATAGGATTGCATCCAGAAGGCTCTCCTCGGCCATCTCGGGCATGTCGTATGCCTAGGTCTGCCTCCACATGCTTCTCGCGCGGCAGTTGACCGGACAGTGGAGGCAAAGCGCACTCGTGGCGTCGCTTATAGCCGCCAGCGGCTGTTGCAGCAATATGTGGCACTGGGCCCGATTGCTGTAAAGTACAACTTTTTCCTTCTTGGACCTGACGGGGTAAAGGGAGAGTGCTTCTGAGTACTTTGAGGCGGCCCCAGAGATGTCCCAGCAGAAAAGAAAGTTTCCCTCGAGCTTTACTACCAAAGCGGCCGCGTGTTTTATGTGGAGTTCTTCTTTAGACATGTTCTTCTCCCATTTCTGCCTCTAGCGAAGGGCTAGGAGTTCATCAACTTCTCCTTCGGCTCGATTGCTGATCGACTCACAACCCAACCTGCGAGACTGGTTGTATTCCTCAAGGGAATTGATTATTGAGTCCCTGAGCTTCTTGGTCCCAAGTGTGGTTATGTCTGCGAGGTCTATGAGAGAGAAAATTAGAGAGAGAAAGTTAGAGAGAGATGAATAGGCCACAAATCATAATAAGCAAAAAAATGCCCTAAAACCAGACAATCAATTGTAGAAAATGGGATAACAAAAAGAAAATACAAGTAACATTTTGAATTGAGAACTCTGAAAATCTATATAGACCACATACAAGGCAAGTAGTAGAAGATAAACAAAGAAACTCCACCACGAAGGAAACAATGATTGAACAACACCATTATTATAAGATTAGTGTTTGGTACTTTACCTGGATATCATCATCCAGATCTCTTTCCATAAGATAAAGATCATAAGACTTTGTGATCTCAAACAGATGATCTGACAATTCCTTGCTTCTGTCAAAAATCATATATTATAAGGGAAATGAAAAAAGGGGAAAAAAAGTGAGAACAATCAACCTGCAGCTCCTCAGGGCTGCTTTCCTCTAGAGCAACACCATTTAACCTACATGTTTACCTGGACCAGTTAGGTTATAGACGCATAAAATAAACGTGGATTTCATTATAAACAAATATTCATCCAAAACAAGATCATATTTAGTACAATTAGTCAGAAACTAACAATGATTGGATTTTACAATAAAAACATACACAACACAGTTCTTTCCAATTTTAAAATAAAAACATACACAACACAGTCGTTGAAACTTGAAACAATATATGCACCATGCTAATAATTCAAAGAGATTTAACTTGTAAACGAAAAAGCTAGATAATATATTCAGTTATTGTCAATAATGAATCTAAACACTTATGCAGCCATTCGAAAGAAAAGGGGCAGCATGTGTCACATGGCACTCTTAGTAAACGCATGTCATGACCCATGTCTTCCAAAAAAAAATTGTTGAAATTTGAATCTGAATCCTATACCATACCATAAAAAAACCCCTGAAAAACCGTAGAGCCCATACAATTTGTAATTTCTTTCAGCCAAACCAAGACACACACCCTATCTCATCTTCTACCTATCCTTCAAACATCAGGCCCCAACAACCAAGATGAAGTAATATGTTTGATTAAAAAACAGAGTTTCATAATAACTCATTTATAATGAATTCAATCAAATAAAAAATTAAATGCAACACATACGAGCTCTTATCCGAGGACTACTCCACCGAGTAAAATGGAGATGTCGCTCTCCTCCTCGACTCGGTCAAGGAGTTCATCCCCGACCAGAAGGCCGTCGTCGTTAAACCCGACCTGATGCCCGACAAAGAAGATTTGTCGGGTGAGTTGATTGGTACTTAGGCGATACAATCTGAAAGTAAGGGTTGTCTGTTGACCTTCTTCTTCAAGCTGTCCAATTCCCAAATTAGGGTGTGTGTGGAGTAAATACTATGAAATAAACATATGTACAAAAACATTGATCTTCTCCACAAAAAGGTTCAGCTAGATGTTGAAGGGGGAAATCAAGAGATCGGGTTACCTTAGAGAAAAAAGAGCCACACAATTCGGGAGCTCTGTAGTTGCAACATAATCCTTAATGAAGGCAGAAAAAATGATATATTATTCCAGGTTATTATGCAGCTTCAAATGCAAATTACATACAAATTTGATTGTCCTTTTTTTT